TGCACTTATTTTCAACAGTCGCTCTATAACAAACGATATATCAACGAACGTCAACAATACTCTCTGACTGCAGTTCAATTACTCACTGTCTACACACACTATTATCCCGTCACGTTGTCACCCTCTTTTATATACCAGACTACCCTACTATATCTAGTAAATGCTAGAGCATTCGCCAAGGTACAGGATAGTTCTAGAAACTAGTCATGTGACTTTGCTGACGCAACAATATGTTCTTGAGTAAACTTGAGGATTTAGGTTAGTCCATGTTGGTGTCTTCATTATTTGTAGTACAGCTGCTATATCAATAATATTTTACCCATTGTATTAATAAACAATAGTGTGAAACAGGTAAACAACATAGGGTCTTATAAGAATATTTCAAATATGTAACTTGTAATACACTAACTTGGGTAAATTGCAGGAAGAAAAGAGTTTATAATAAATAAATGAAACTTTTATCATTTGGTCTTTAGAATGGTTTAATATTCATCATTAGTTAAAAGTTTTATGTGATTCAAAGTCCATAATGTTTTGTAATATGTATTCATTGAAGTAAATTGCTGGTTTACATATTGTAAGTTATTGATAGAAGTACAGAGGCACATTGTTCAGGATTTTTGATCTGTAGAGTAGATTCATTTCTTGCTTTTATTATTAATTTGAACAACCGAGAAAGACAACCATCTCACAGTTTCTAATTCTACAAACTATCTTGAACAACCAACACGGTGCCAGTGAACTTTAATTAATGATTTGAGTATAGTCTCTAATTTTCAGTAGAAATTAATGCATTTGAATTTAGTGATCCATCCAAACTTCGAATTGAACAAGTTTGTGCTGGTACGCTGGGTCTACTCAGAACAATAAAATGGTGGTCTTGAAGTATTGTCACAAAGCTCTTATCCTGCTTAGTTTGGTCCTGTCTTGTCAAAACTAGTGAACTTGTTCCTGTATACAAAACAGGATGACCACTTCTCTCCTGATGGAAGTGCACCTTATTAGTCTATTTGTTTGTGAATGGTGTAAGAAAAAGGAAATGGGTATATATAAGTGAACATTTAAATAATGCTGATGGTTTTATCTGTGAATTCAATAATTATATGTGTTGATATTTATTAAAAACTTTCCTTTTGCGACAACTGTTCATATAGTTTCTACATGAGCATTCAATGTAGCTTATAAGATGGACTCATTACAAATTAATCTAATGTCAAAGTAAGCAAAGCATGTGGTTTGAATGCATCGATGTGGTCTATGTGAAGTTGTTATATAAGTAAAGGTTATGATACTTGTGTATACTTAGTTATTAATGCAATATGGATGGTTTCTCCCAATGTGCCATAAATATATTTTTTTCATCAAGTTGTATTAGAGTCAAAATGAGACCATTTCTCTAAATAGTAAAATTTTTATTTTTCAGTGTTGTTTCAGACAGATGATGTGTTCAGACATTTAGGTGATGAGGTTTCTCTCTTTATGCATGAGGTAATAAATTTTATGTACTAAACAGAAATTTATACTTTTAATAGGAGATTTTCAACTAGTTTCACACCCCAGCATGTCCATTTTTAAAATGTTAATTTTTTTATGTAAAATATGACTGACTTTCAGTTTGAATGGGTCAAAAATGAATTATTAATGTTAGTTTAAAACTTTTGTACTAAACAATTTAAGACTAGTAGAGATTTGTGTGACAAGCACAGCATTTATTTTGTTGGTTTCACAGGGATGATGGCAGGACAATGTGTGTGTTTATTTACCATGCACATCTATTGAACAGTGCTGTAAAACTAGATATTCACTCATAGTGACCAACTTATTTATATTAGTGTAACTATTTTCAATATATTATATAACATGCAATGTATTAATTGATTTTTAAAAAGGAATAGAAATTGAATAGAGTTGTTTAAACAACTCTAATCAATTATGTACCAGCTGCTCAGTGTTGGCTAACAATACGAAGAATTATATTGTGGCGGAATGCTACAAGTTCTTCAAATACCTACAGAATGATAGGTTTCTTTTTGTGAGTGTAAAACACTTAAATACACCAAGGAATAGAAATGTTTACTATTGAAAAGTAACTAAAAGGAAAGGTAAGCTTTGTATGAAATGATTCTTGACAAGGTTGTTACATCAAAAGAATTTTCATTATTGTTATGGTATGTTTTTATTGCAGCTTGTTACTGTTATGAATGAAATTATTTGAAAATTTACAATTAGATAGTTTTTGGACATATGACAAATTCATATAAATATATATATATCATTATATGCTAGGATTATTAAATCATAATTTAAAGTTTTGTTTCAGCTTAGACAAAAGATTTTTATAACATGAGGTTTAAGTCTAAAACTAAGGTGGAAAAGAGAGCCCAGTATCATATTGAACATATTTTCATTGTTTTGTCTCAAACTTTAATGTGAACTTGAGCAAGTGTGTAAGGATGTAGACTTCTTTTACAATATTTGCATTATGTTCTGTATTCTTTTTCTTTTCCAGGCTTTCAACGTTGAACATGCTTTTCCATCTAGGTAAGTTAGTAAATGTGTCCATATAACTTATCCCTATCAAATTCTGATACATTGTGTTGTAATAGCTTTCTCACGAGTTTTCATTTGTGGTTGTTTAAAAAAATTACTGCATTTTTAAAAAAAAAATCCATATTATCCTTATTATCTGTAATAAAAAATGTAAGCTAATAAAACTGTAATTACATGGAGGAGAAAATAAGGAAATACATTGAAAATATATTTAAAAATAAATTTCTAATCTTTATAGTGAATGACCATTCCAAAAATATTTTATATGAAGACAGATTTGTTTTTAGTTTTTGAGGTATTAAGTAAAACTGCAAAAGAAAAAACTATTTTAAGTCTTAGTAAGTTCCCAGTAATATCAGAAACTTTAATAAAACCAGCAGTTGCTCAGGGACTTGGGATTGGAAGTTTTGAATATTAGAATTGATTGTAAAATATCCTGAAACACCAAAAAAGTTTTAATGGTGGCTTTTTCTTTATAAGAATATTGCAAACAAATGTATGTTTTGACATGGAATTGTAGTTTTAGTAATGAAATATATTCATGTCCTACATAGTTTTAAATTATTTTTCATTTGTTAGCAAAATTATTAGCTCTGCAAGTTAGACTGTATCAATTCACTTATATTCCAAAAGTACAATCTACTCAAGCTGTTGTCTATAATGTTTCACAAAAAAAGGACTACCAGAAGAATTTTCCAGCCTCTTTAAAGAAATAAAAAAAAATTAAAAAAAAGGCCAGACTATCATCAAACATTTGCAAGTGATCCTGGTGGAATTCTTGTGCTTGTAAAAAACACTTAATTGATTACAGTCCTTGAGCAGCCAGATGTTTTACTACTCTGTGAACTTTTCTAGGTTTTGTTTTGTGTTAGTCTAGCTTAATGACTGCACATACAAAAGTTGACTGTTCAATACAAAATTTTAAGAATAACTTGTGTTTATCTGTATGCTAATTTCTTTCCAGTGTGGTTTAAATAACCATTGGTTACATGAATGTCCATATCTTGTTTTCAAATGTGGACCATCAGATACATGTATCTTTCAGGCTAATACCACAACAAATGCACGAAGGTCAGCGACAAACACTGGCTGCTGTAGCACCTACTCATTTAAACTAGTAGAGCCTGATCTGGATTTGGCAGTCATGGACTGGGTGAATGAATTTGTAGTAGATACTATGGCTATTAATCTATTCAGCTTTCTGCTGGAAGAGTCATCAGTATAAAATCAGAGGTAGAAATGACACAAAGTAGTTGAGTAGCTAGTTTTGCAACTACCGTATTGCATTTCCAAAGCATTTGAAGTGTTTAGTGAGGTATTGTGCGAAATTTGAACTCAACATAGAGATGTAAACTCAATGAATTGCTTGGGGAGTCTGCTAATGTGTTTGTGGGACAAAATGGTCGATTGGGTCAGACAACAGCCACATCTCATCAATAAAGCAATTGTTACACAGGCTTCTTTGGAGTACCAAGGATTTAGTCAGTGCTCAAACTGAACATGTATTGAAGAACAGAATAATATAACCTTTGGAGAGTACATGGTTGTCTTCAGTGGTGACTGTTTGGACTTCAGAAGGGTGAACATGGTAATGCATGTCAAGGACTTTACCTCATGTAGATGAATATTTAGATACATTGGAAGGTACCCATTAGCACAATACACTAGATCTGGCTTCTGGATATTGGTAAGTTGAACTGGATGACAAAAGTATACCAAAGGCTAATTTTGGTACTTGAGAAGGTTTGTTTGAATTTTGGCTCATGCTATTTGGTCTGTGTAATGTGGTCACCACTTTTAAGAGACTGATAGAGCATAAATGTAAAGAACAGCAATGGGAGAGATGCCTAGTCTATATGGATGATAGACTTGTCTTTAGTTGCACTTTTCAAGTTGTGGCTGAAAACGTAATTATGGTCTTCCTACAGTTAGCAGATGCAGGATTGCAACTGAAACCAAGGAAGTGTGCACTTATACTGAAGGAAGTACATTTTCTCAATTCATAGTTGGCAGAGATGGAATGACTACTGATCCTGTGAACATTGCAGCTGTCAAAGACTGACCCCTACCTTCTAACAAATGAGAAGTTTACAGATTTCTAGGTTTCACATCTAGGTTTGATTCTATTAATATTATAATTTCTCCATTCTGAAAACCAATATGGAGGAAAATTGTGGAATAATTACAGAATATAAAATGTCTGCTTTTTTATATTTTGTAGCTATTCTGTATTTATTACTTTTTTCTATGATTTTCCTTAAAGAATCATCTCTTATTATATCTAAATTTCCAGTAATAATATGCTTATGAAAAGAATCTTCCAAAGAATGTGAGTAGCACTCGTATGGTAAATTCTGCACATTATTTATATCTAGATTACTGAAAAAAAAGTCTTTATAATTATATAAGAGGTTCTTTTGGAATTTCATATTTAAAACTGGTAATAGGTTTTAAGTATTTTAAAGGAAAATGGAGTCTTTTTTTCACCCTGAAACCGGCTTTTTCCACAGGGTTGTGGATGATAAAATTGGATGTCTCCAACGCTTATGTGTTTTGTCGCATAGTCCGGGCCTTTGCACATCATCTACATGCTCAGGGGATGCAATTTCATTATTACATGGTCGACTGGCTCATTCCAAGCAGGAATTGGCCACTCATACTCACCAACTCTTTTCTGTGGCAGCTCGGTTGGGCTAGTTGGTCAAATGGGAGAAGTCATTCCTTCGACCATTTGGAGGTCTATTTTTCAACATGAATATCAGTCGTGCTCTGCATTCTTTTTATGTCTATGTTCAGTGGAACTTTTGGTTCCCCATGCCCAATTAGCTCAGTCACTTACTGCTCACATGGTTCTATCACTTTTGGGGATGTGGTCCTCCATGACTGCACTGGTCCCCCTCGGTCATGCTCAGATGAGATCCCTTCAGTGGGTGCTTCACGAATGATGGAACCTTGCTCTGGATCCTCCAGTACCTTGGGCATTTCATCACTTCCTACTTCTCACCCATCATCATCTTGTGATGTTCATTCAGACAATTGTATGGTTGGTGGTGGCACATATCAACCATCAAGGGAGGAACACAGTCCAGAAATCTGTGTTTTTGAGCATTGGATCTATTATACTGGGACCATGCACGTCACATTCACCTTATAGCATATCATGTTATGGGTGCTTTTTTAAGTACCTTGGGCATTTCATCACTTCCTACTTCTCACCCATCATCATCTTGTGATGTTCATTCAGACAATTGTATGGTTGGTGGTGGCACATATCAACCATCAAGGGAGGAACACAGTCCAGAAATCTGTGTTTTTGAGCATTGGATCTATTATACTGGGACCATGCACATCACATTCGCCTTATAGCATATCATGTTATGGGTGCTTTTAATCTAGTCGCAGATCATCTTTTGCATCCTGACCAGATATATCCCACAGAGTGGACATTAGATCCACTCATTTTCAGTGATCTTTGTCATTGGTGGGGTTCTCCCCACTTGGATGCCTTTGACACAGGCATCAATACTAAGTTGCCCATCTTTTGGTCACCTGTACCACATCCACAGGTTTTGGCAGTCAATGCCTTCAACCAGGATTGGTCACACAAACATCTTTGTGTACCCTCCCATCTGACTGCTTCATTGGGTGATTTCTCTTGTCCACTCCACCCCTTATCGTCTGATTGCTCACCTTTGGTTTCCTAGGTTAAAGCGTCTGCTCCCATCACCACTTGTCTCTATTCCACTTTCTCCCTTCCTTCTTTGTCAACCTCAAACTCACATTCCACGTCCTGCATTTTCATACCTGGCTTTTATCTGGTCCTTAGCGAGATGATTCAGTTTCATATGTCAAGTTGCTTCCTTATTTGCTAGTTCCATATGACCATCTTCCATGAAAGTATATCAACGCAAATGGAAAGTCTTCCACTGTTGGTCTGCTGACAAGCCTTCTGTGGCAGAATCTCTCACCTGGCTCTACGACCGTGGGTTTCGGTCTCCTCTCTTTCCGGTTATCAGGTGTCCCTATCCCATGCCTTCCATTTTTCCTAATACCATAGGGTTTTTACTTCCCCTATTCTTACCATTCTCATGCATTTCTTCCAGATACATCGACCTCCCGGATGTCCTGCCCTTCCAGATTGGGACATTAATGTGGTCTTCCATGCCCTTACTTTTTTGTTCCTTGTTTCATTTATCCTTTAAAACATATTTCCTTCTTCTCATAACCTGTGGATGTCAACGGGTTGGATTTGTTTGCCATTGATGTTTCATGTACTCTTTATCACCCTACCTATCTTCTCCTTTATCCTGATTGTTCCTTTCTCCCTAAGACCTTGGCAGCTTGGGAGGGTTGTTCATATTTTTCTCCTATTTTTCTTCCTCCTATATCCCATCTTTACTCTTGACTGGATCCAGATAGGCTTCTGTGTCAGGGCCCTTTGTTTTTATGTAGCACATACTGCTACCTTTTGGGGTATGCATGATTGACTTTTTATCACATGGCAATTCTCCTCCCTTTGTGATCTTTCACATTCTACCCTTACTAATTGGGTCCGCCTTTCATTTGGTTCATTTGGCCTACTCTTCCCTACTTTCTTCCTCCCTTACCTTGTTCCAAGTTCCTCCCATTAGATCCAACATCTCACATTTTCCCTTGCTTCTAGTCTTTTTCATCTGATGGAGGAGATTCTACAGTCCAGCAAATGGACCATTCCCAGTACATTCATCTCCCACTATTATCATCACATCACACTTTCCTCTTCATCAGGGTTTTGTCTACCACCTGTGGCCTTTCTCCAGATTTTGGTGCAACTTTAACTGATAAGTTTTATTCTTTTTTTTTCAGCAGCCTTTATCTCCTTTTTTTATCACATGGATCCTGCTCTGTGGTGAGTGGTTCATGACCAGGTATTCTTTAATTCTAAATCCACACTGTACAGCCATGTTGACTCGTGTTTTAATTTCCATGGCTTCCCACACTCATCATGGATATGGGGTGTTCCATAAGATGCTTGATAGTGACTTACCTCATGATATTTTGTGTCATAAACATGCCTGTTCTGGACCATACCACTAATGGACTGCATGGGTAAAGCAGAAGGGGATTGCTGCTCATTCCTGCCATGTCTAGAGTGAATAACTCAGTATGATCTGCTTTTCAAAATAAAATTTCGTGGTCACCCATTGCACTGCCTCTGGTGATAACGTGCCTCCTGTTACCATTTACATAAACACTGGAGTTGAGCCATCGAAATTGCAGTTCACTCCTTCGATTGGGAGACCTCATACTACTATCACACTGATGTCGGTACCCCATGAGGAGGTTTTGGATGTAGTTGACTTTCTGAGTATGGTCTACCACTCTACATTTCTCACTTTCCACCCTTATGTCTTACTCATTCCACACATGGGTGAAGAGTATACCTGGATCAGAAGTGGCGTGGTTCCCCTCTTCCGATTTTTGGATCTATATCTCTCATTGTAAGGGGTATCCTTCGGATGCTTTCGGGGATACTTTTTTCGTTCCTTCGCACTGGTCCCTCCTCCTTCTCAATGTGGTATCCTAGCTAAGCTTGTGAGAGGAGTATCGTATCAGAAGTTATAATTTTCCTCTATTTTACTTTCCTCTAGTGCTCACATATTCTGCCAAACTTCTTGGAAGCAAAGGTTCTGTAGAGGAGTGTAGAGGGAATCACATGCGTCACATGAGCATATCATGCTACTATTGGTTAAGAAATGACATATGATGATTTACATGAAAGACATGTTGGAATATAGTAATTCCAACAGGTGGGGAGTGGTAGGTTTGTGGCATGCCTAAAGAAAATGTTTGCATATAGAGGGCAGCACTAAATGAAAATAGCTAATCTTGTGAGAGGAGGTAAGTATCTATCAGAAATACATTTTCAGTATAGGAAAATTATAACTTATAATATTGGAAATTAGGTGTTTAGCATGATTATTTGGAAAATTAAATGTCATTACAGTTTTTGTTAATACTTTTAATTTTGAAATGTATATTCTTGTAGAAATAACTATGAATCTTAGCAAGAATATAAAACTTATTATCTAAATCTGCACAAAAATCAATAAAATTAATCCATTTTCTTCTGTTTTTACCTTTTTCTTGTATTTGTCTTTTTTGTACATTTCTTGTTAATACTATCTAGACAAAAGAAATGCCAATCCAATTATTATTATTACTTAAACTTATAGCAGTAGTATCATTATAATCTTGACTCAAACTATAAGGATATATAGTTTTGTATTTAAAAAGGAAAAAATTTTCTTTTTTTGTAATCTGTTTATTTCCATATTAATGACTTCTAAAATTGTAATTGCTATTGAAGCATTGGTAAGAATTCTGAAATTTAATTATATTTACCACATTATTTTTACTTTGAGATCTATGCAGATTCATATGAATATGTATAGGATTAGAAGTTTGTCCCACATATTATGTATTACGTATATCACACGTTAAAAAATAAATTACATTTTTAATTTACAAATAGAATATTTATAAGCAATTGGATAAAAAGAACAAAACTGAAAAAATAAAACGTGTGTGTGTGTGTGTATGTATATGATAATCAAAATATCGTATTTAACAAAATACTGGTACACTAACTTAGATATGTACTTTGTAGGCCAGTTTTACTATATGATTATATATTTATCTACTGAACATGTTATTATTTTACTCAGCTGCAAAGTGCATTTCTCTCAATCTTTTTTTTAAACTTTATTGTGAATATTTGTCACTAAACTTAGCATTAAAAAAAATTTATAATTCAAATTTTGACAAGTTTTCATTTCTTAATTTCAAAAGGAAAGACTTAATATCTCAATCTTCACCTCTCTGTATCACTTGATGCACTTTTCCCTTATACTATAGATATTACTAAGCTATAATGTAAGTCTCCCTCCAAGTTTATTGCTTTACTTAAACAGAACAAAGGCTTCTCAGGCCTGGTAGTTTGCTGGAAACAGTGCAATGGTTTGTGCTGTGATTTATTGTTTTGTTGTCCAGGGGAGTTTACTCTTTCATATGGAAGGAAATAACCAGTCAGAAAACATGTTTAATTATAGAATAAAGGTTTAACCTATGAATATAATTAATATTTAAGTTCACAGACAACACTGAAAAGAACTATGTTCAATTTGTTAATGTTTTTCAATTTTTCATAGAATCAAGTGTGCTGTTTGTGTAAAGAAATCTATACATAAAATATACATTTTTGCAAAATAAAACCAAAAACTTTTAATATTCATTTAGAAGGTCCCAGAGGTTATGCAAATGAAATATGCAAACTTTAAATGTAAATGAAAATAAGTATTTGTATTCCTATCATGAAATTCATCTTTCATTTAGACTAAGTAAATTCTCAGATGAATCTTTAGTATATATACTTTATTTAAAAACTGACTTATTGTGTACAATATAGTTTCACATTTACTAAAAGATTGCCAATTTTGTTGAAGATACATAATGTAAATTCAGAATTATAGTTCTTGTTAATTCTGTAGTACAGGTTCAGTCCATTGGACTGAGCTTGTGTACAAAGGGTTAATGTCAGTTCATACATTTAAAGTAACATAAATTTTAGATATCTATTTTAGACACTTATATGATGAATCATTTTATTTAACATAAACCTAAATTGATTGTTTTGAATAATTCCTATGTAATGATGTTTTTCAGAAAAATGTTTATTTTCCTTTAATATGGATAATAGTAATATTCAGATTTACCTTGTAATTTTAATTAACATTGAAATGTTTTTGCACACACATTTTTGTATTCCCTATATTGGATTAGTTCATCTTAATTCTGACACTAGTAAATTACTTAAATGGACAGGTGGTCCTTACCTTTTTAAACTTCTTTATAAAGTGAGTAGCTGTGCTAAAAACATTGCTGTTCCAAAGAACATTTTTCATTATGACCATTGTGCCCATAAGTTAGATGTAAGTCTTGTCTGGAAAACTAATTTATATATATATAATATAAAATATTGAGGTTTAAGTATGCATGTTAAATTGTTTTGTGAAAATTATTTTGTAAGTCTAGCTTTTTATTCTATCCTAAGCAGTGATGTTTTCTTAGTTTCACAGATTACAGTGAAGATGATTTAAATTCTTTCACTACTCCTTTATTACTCAACTCTCCTTCACTAGATTTAAAAATGTGGTGAGTATTTGATGTCAGTAATGGAGATTATTCATTGTAATTTAAAGCTTATAACTATGGTTAATAAATATTGAAGCAATGAAAAATTACTATAATTATACTTGTAATAATACATTAGTATTAGGCCTGTTATCTTTTTTAATGCTGCACTCTTTATCTAATCACTTGGGGATTTTAAAGAATTAGAAATGTGTATAATAATATTTCAGCCACACACACTATATATGCCATATCCATTGCTGATGACTTATTTCAGTAAATCCAGAGCTCTTCAAGCCAGCTGGGAAACAACAAACACAGTAATGATCAGAATACTTATTTATATAAGCCATTTGTTACAACAATAACAATTGTTATGATGTTATCATAAGCTGGCAAAACATTATACATACTTATCATAAGACATTAGCATTAGGCCTATTATATTTTTAACATTACATTCTATATCTATTGCTATAGAGATTTTCAAGAATTACACAAGTGTATAATATATGTTTTAAAGAAGTAAATATTAAAAGATATTTGGAAAGATGCCTGAACTTTAGAGTTTACACAATGGAAGAATTGAGCTCATTCATATGTGTGTGTATATATAGTACTTACGTGTGTGTGCATGTGTGTATATATATTTGCTCTGTACAGTTAGTTAAGTGGTATGTTATTCACATTTAGTTAATTAATATAATATGTGTGTACTTCCATCCAGTTAAAGTATATTTTCTTTTGAACTTGCATTCAAGTAGAAAATGTTGAGTGCAGTTACACTACATTAAGTTAACACTATTTTGTACTTGAATTACAATATAGTAGGAAGTTTCTTTTTTTGCACTTGAATTAATCCTTTCAGTAATCATGTGCATTATTTTGTCAGGTTTTATAATGCAAATTTTGAATCTTCTCTAAGAATGTAAAAATTATAATAATTATGGATTTGTTTAATTTCTAGCTTTGGAATGCCCCTTATGGACACCACTCTACTTTTAATATCTTTATCTGGTAGCACAGTTCATTTTTACTGTTCATTTTTTCAAGGAAAGGTTTGTTTGTTTTTTTGTTTTATTAATCATTAAATTTAATTTGAAGTCTTAATATAGATGAGCATATTTTTCTGTTATCTTTATTGACCTTAGTAATAATAATCATTATTTCAAGAATATATTATAGTTTATTACAAAGTTGCACAAATTGTGTTATTGCTTAAAAATTTAAAGTTTTTGAATAAAAGGGTAGTTTTTTAAAAATATTTATATAGGCATTATAGTCATCCATAATGATGAATTATTAATCTGATGTCTGTTGTCTGTTTAATCAATTAGAAAAAATGAGTCTCCACCACTTGCAAACATTTGATGGAAGTTAATTGTTTTTAACAACACAAAATTCCACTGTTTTAAACCTGTAATGTTCAATATCTGATTTGTGTCAATCAAATTGAGCAATACAGAGTTTTCATAATTTTCACTGTCTGATGTTTGAACAATAAAAAAAAGTTGTATTGAATATCTAGTGATTACTAGATAGCTTTAATAGCATAAATTTGGCAATCCTAAAATATTTGTTGCTACTGTCTGATATCTGTAACACAACCATTGCTACTTTGAAGCTTTAACACCTCATGTATTCTTTGTAGTTTGTGTAGCATAAACACCATTATAATCTGAAATCATCAAGTGCATACTTTTAACTGTAATCAAACACTGTCATTCAAAGACGTCTAATGTTGCTGTCTGATATGTGTCAAATTGACCGAGCTAGCCATTTGTTTCAGTTCAGGCTTCATTTTCTCGGCTAACTTTTAATATTTTCAAATTCAAGAAATTCATCTTCAATTATATAATTTGGTCTGACTGTTAGTTGAGGTATAAAATTTAGTTTTCCAGTCTTCTAAAGACACTAAAACATAAAACAAGTAGTAATTTTTGTTTTCTTTGAAGGTAAATAGGTAATCTCGATTTCATTATCATTGTATAAATACTCATTATTATGTTTTCGTACTTAAGGAGCTGTTAATTATTTTCTCATTATACAAACAGTTTTATATTGAGATGAAAATGTCAGTTTTAGTTCGTTTTTATTTTACCATAAATAATAGCAGTGTGGGCAACCAATATATGGCAAACACACCCAACAACTACACATTGTCTGTACTATGGCTAAATCAGTACAATTCTAAGTATTGTTCTCACTCTAATATTCTGTAGTTCTTAATTTATATTAATCTTACTTTTGTGTTCTTAACTTTATAAATAGTTTTCACAAATTTTCTGTGTGTTTACAGATAACAGATCCTCATGGAAATGACTCATTTTCTAGGTTGATTTTAGCCAGAGAGGAAAGCCCAGCTAAAAATAAACTATTAGTTCCCACCTCAGATGATGCCTTTAAATATCAAGTAAAGACTATTTGTTTGTGGTTTAGTAGCTAGGAGATAACTTTATAATCAACTTGATGAGCTAAAGAGGAATAATGTTTCAGAATAATTAGAATATAGAATGATTTATGATTTAGTATGTTTAATAATAATTTTAACTTGAGTGTTGGTACTTTGCTTAGTATTAATATCTCAATCATGTTCTGAGTTACTGACTACTAAATTATTTTATATGCAAGAAAATGAACAAAAAAACTGCAGATAATATTCTCGTGTAACTTCCAAAACTTTACCAAAAAACAGTGGCAATGAAACCAGCACATTTATTTTATTCCCATTCTTTTAAATGTCTGTTACTGATACTAAATCATCTTATATGTAAGTAAATGGAGAAGAAAAAACACGTATAACATTATGTTTTGGGACAACATGGGACTTATTGGTCCATCTTGGCTGTTCCATCCTCTAAACTAAATTAAAATGATTAAAAAAAAAACATCTTAAAGCCAGCCCTTTTCATTCATATAATTATCAAGCTTTTCCTTAAACTCACTTAAATATACTGCATCTACAACATCTGAAGGCAAGCCATTCCAAAGGCCATGTTGGAAAAATGAAACTGTCATAGCTGAAAATCACTCCTACCTTGCCAAAATTTATATTTGTGGCCCTCCAGTCCTACTATTCTCATTGTTAAATATGAAAAAGATGATGCATCAACACTGTCAATTCCCTTTATAATATTAAACACCTCAATCGAATCCCCCCCCCCCCCAACTCTTCTTTTTTCAAGAGAAAACAATTTGAGAGATTCAGCCTCTCCTCGTATGACAACCCCTCCATCCCAGGCACCATTCTAGTAACCATTCTCTAAACCCTTTCCAAAAATTCAATGTCTTTCCTAAGGTAAGGAGCTCAAGATTGAACACAATACTCCAAATGTGGCCTAACCAGTAACCTGTAGAATAAAAGTATAACCTCTTTAGACTTGTATTCAGTTTTCTATAGATAGAACCTAAAATCCTATTTGCCCTACCACTAGCACTTTCTGTCCATATTTTTCTGTGTTTGTTTAATTATTCTACCTGAGTGTATATGAATTCTTGACGTAAAGTGTTGTTTAAAGTCTAGAGTTATTGAATTAATATTAAAATTTAATACTTCTATGTTCAATTGTGAAAGGTGCTATAGCTGATTTAGTACTGACCTGTAAAGCTGAAATACTACACTGATCTGAATTTCAAAACTTAGAATATTTTTTATAATGAACTATGTTAATTACTTATCATTCAAACTGTGCACATTAATACACTTGTAGTTCGTAAATTTATAGGTTAAGGCCATTTGTAAGAGTCCAAGTGCCATTTAACGATAGCCATTCCTTTCTCATACACTGCATAATTCACATGACTTCTTCATAGAAATTAGTACCTGAATACTGAAGCAGTTGAGTATCTGAATCAGACAGATATACATCGAAAGATTATAATAGTTTTTTTCTCAGCTCTTACAGTACTGTATGTGAGAACCTTACCCAACCTATTAGTGCTTAATAATTACAATAGGTTTTTTACCTGGCCTATATAATATAATACTATATATGAAGACTTGAGCCAGAAAAGTAACTACTCAAGTATTATTGTAAGTAAGTATGAGAATAGTTTTAATTTGTATTAAAAGTTTGTGACAGTTTCTGAACTATTAACAAGTGTCATTTAAAAAATTTGAGTAAAATAGAAATTGGGTGTTGTTACTTTCCATTTTGTTTAAACTTAAAAAGATTAAGAATCTCTTCCATTGTAATCTTTATGCTTGTAAGATGAGTGCACAAAAATTCACTTTTTGGATGTTTTATTAACCTTAATATATTGATTTTGTTAAGTAATAAATCTGTGTGTGTGTATATAGTAGCATCAATTTTATAGATTGCCAATTGTGAAGTTTTCAAATTTGATACATTTGTGTATGTAAAAGTGTTATTGATTAAACAACATTAGGTTTTGTTTTTTCATATTGTACTTTGGCCAGTATAACATTTGGCACTTTTATTAATAATGCCATTTTATCCAATCGTAAAACTACCTAAAGTCATATTTAGTTTACTAGCTGATGAAACTATATTTGTGAGGAGTAACTATTTAATATCATATTAAAAACTTCCAATTTCTCTCCACAGCTGACAGAAATGTACTCTATTAGAACTGACCTCCATCTAGAACTTTTAACAGATGAAACTGAACCATCTAAAAATGTTTGGGTAAAAATAAATTTTTTACATAATCAGTTTTTGCTATTTAGGAAAGGTTTGTAATATAATTGTTATTATTGACTGAGTTTCAAAAATATCAAAAATGTAAAAATTATTCTTTTCCCTTTAAAAAAAAAGAGTAACAAATGACAAGACCCTTAGTGTAGATAATCTGTTGTGGGCTGCATGAATTGTTTTGAATGGATTGAGACCAGGGGTGAAATTCTGCTAGAACTGAGTACTGGAACTTATTTTTTAAGGTGGTACTAGAACCAGGACTTATTTGAGCTGCTTTTTTGGATGCGTGTGTGATCCATTGTTCCGTCAGGTAGGATAAGTGTAAGGTCTTACCTTTCTCTTAATGATAATAGAGACTTACACATTTTGCAAGATGATTGAAAATACAGTACGCAGAAAGTCTGCAGAAAAAATTTTGAATTTAAAATTAATAATTCTGAGACTTTTAAGCCAAGCAATTGGAACTTGATATGACTGGGTTACTTTTGTAAAAACTTTCCTTTGCTTGTGTCATGTGAATCTCTAAGCCCACTTTATATGGAGCAAAAACTAAGCATTAGAACCAAAAATCTGATCACTCAAAATTTTGTAAATTTTGAATCATTAAAAGACCGGTTGATTTCAAGCCAGTTTGATGCAACAATAAAGGACATTATTAAAAACTGAGTGTTTGATAATTTAAGAATCCCTGTACAAATGATTTATAAACTTGGTAATTATGTTATCAGTTTGTTACTAAGTAGGAATATAAAAATTCAGTAAATAGTTTGACCAATAATTTTTGCTATAGAGCAACAACACTAAATTGACTTAAGTTGGTAAATTTAAGAAACCTGATCCTCTTGTTGCATATTTTGGTTAAGTGTAGTTATTTGTAAGTGCAGATGATACCTAAAATTGACCTCTTATAGGAGGATTATATTATAGAACTTTCCAACCTAAAGTTCTCCTAGTCTACAACAATAAAAAGTGGCAAAGAAAAGGAAGACATAATTCCACAAGGAAACTATGGGCCATTCTATGGTTACTTACAGTCACACTCCTGAGGTAGTGAAAGAAGTTAAATAGCTTGCTACCAGAAGTGACCCCAGAATACAGTTTTACATTTTAGCTAAATTGGTAGTTATACAAGAGTGAAACAATGGTAACATCCACAAGTTTCTCCCAAAGCACAGCCAACTGGAAGACCATTTGTCAAAAGCTGTACAAGTGGTATCTGGCATGTGACAAGTGGAAGTCTGTCATTACATTGAATGAGATTGCATCTGCTAAAGTAACTATAATAAAGTACAGCTGATTTCTTATTTTACAACAGGTGATACATCATTTAAAAAATGATGCAAAGCATGCCACTAAAGTATTCCAAGGGATTCATGGCAGTTGCAAATACAGCTGTAACAGTAAGTTAAACATCTGGAGAGTCAAGAAAAATGTGAAGGTGAATTCTACCAACTATAAATCTAACGTACTGACTCCACTAAACCACAAGGAAGTGTCATCGTTTTATGAACCAGATGTCAGTAAGGTTTGAGGTCCATTGAGAAAAAGCATGCAATCATACGTACAAGTCAACATGCCAGTTATCAGTTCCTCTGTAGTGTTCAAATGTTTCTTTGCCCTTGGGTTGATCAACTTCGCCTTTGGATGTCGTTGTTCATTCGTGGCTGATGGTCTTATGATTTGCACAACTTTGACTTCATTGTTTTATGTAAAAGCTTTCTTTAGTGGAAATTGCACTGAAGAGCATGAAACATCATCACTAGTAGAATAATTAAGGGGCTATAAGCCTACTCATTCATCCTTGTATTGTTATTATATGTATTGTGAACACCCATTTGTATACATTCTTAAAATACTCTGTTAGTAAAACATCATGCTTACTTGAACATGCCACTGAATATGCTCATCATTTCAGCCATGGAGGCATTAAAATGTGATGGTAAATAACATTACTTTTTGGTTCAAAAATAACCCAAGAGTTGGTGGTAGGTGCTGTGGCCAGTTTCTTTCCCTCTGGTCAAAGTTTGAAATTAGGAAAGGTGGCAGACAGCCTTAGTAGCTTTGCCATAAACAGAAAAACTAACTTACCTTTTAAAAATTTTAACTTTTGTTAAAGAAGTATCCATTTTTGATATGCTTGGAATGTTTCTGAAACATTTTTGTTGCTAAAAACTCTTTGGCTCCTGATGTATAGCCTTAGTTTTATAAATTCAGACAACATTTCTGTTTCTAATTCTTTGATTATTATTTGATGAAGATTAAGACATAAACAGTTACAAATACACACACACACACACACACATACAACAATGTATATATCCACACATACACTAGGGGATAAACTTGGAACTACTGAAAAATAAATTTTTCAAAAAAAATAAATCAATCAAATTGGATATAGGTGGGATTAAATATTTGACCTTCTGCATACAAAATGAGCTGTGTCATATGAACCCAAGCCCAAAGATGTTTCTTTAGGTATTCAGGATTATTAAGTGGAATACCAGATATATGAAAAGGGTATATATTTTAAATACGTAAATCTTTTAGATAATGTTGTTGTATTATGTAGTTTGACATGAATGACATGTTGTATTTAAAGTAAATAACTATAAAACATGGAATGACTATAAGCAAAATATATATATCTCTGTACACAACTTTTTATTTTATTTTATAAACCTTGTTTTTGTGGATGATTGCAGTACTTGACCAAGATGTTGAGACTTATTCTTGATCAAACTCTTGATAAAGCAACATTATAACATAGTGAATTTTTAAAATTATGGTATCAAGAAGTGTAAAAATCAATTGTCTTCCTTTGTCACTGCTTTACTTATTTTTATTTTTCCTTCTAGAATGCTAACAATTCATTTTTACTCTCCCCTAAAGTATTAATAAAGCATTAGGTCCATTACTACCAATAAGGAAAATAGTGTGATATTTTATTCTGTTAGTGGGTAAACATTTTCTTCACATATGAATTATATTTAATCTTTAGGTCTACTTTTTGATTTTTAGATGCCTGTATTGAGATAGTTGGAAACCTATAATAATTATAAGATAGTTGATTTTACACTTCTTGGTACCATAATTTTAAAAATTCACTATGATTATGTGTTTTTCTGTACATTTCTTGTGTGTATATATGTTTAAATTGCATTTGTATATCATCTGAAACTTGTAATATTTTATTTTGTGTTGTAGAACTGTGTTAGCTGTATAGCATCAAAAATGTATAAAGTTGTGGCAGTCATTCATAAGGTTAATTGTTGTAGGTTATATAGTGGGTAAGCTCGTGCTGTGTGTACGAAGAGCATTTCAACTTTAAACCTAATTGGCAATTTTTTGGTGTGTGTGTTGGAATTTGTATTGAGATGTAATGGTACTGCATTATTTATAAGCCAGTGAAAGGTAAAGAATTAATTTAACGTGTTTTCTTGTGTGTTTGTTTATGTTACTGGAATAATTGTCGTTAAAGTTAATATTTTAAATGTCATAGTATTGCACTCTTATAAAACAATGCACATTAAACTTCCTTCACCTTTGCATAAATGTAAAAGTACCACTGTACAATAAGCCAATAGGAATATTGGGTTTCCATGTGAGCTAACATGCATACACACCCTCACTGACTGACACACATTGTTCTTTTAATAGT